GCCATTTGTTTCGTCGACTCCAACCAGTAACGAGTAGTCCATAACGTGCTAAAATAAGGCATTCATTTTTACATCAACGAACAAAGCTTAGCAAGTGAAAATAGTAGTCCCTCTTTAAATTATACCAAATCATATTTATTTCATTTTTTTACGTTCGAAGGAATGTTTTCGGGAAAACCAGCTGATTTAAAACTCAAGAGAAATCGTTCTTACCTGTGAGCTCAGAAAATGGCTGTCATTGCTGATTGCCTGGTTGAGTGCGGCTTTAGCATGCGGGTAGATGTAAAGCTGTTTATTCCATAGATCCTTCATCAGATTTTCGTCTAACAAAACTAGATCTGATGTACTTTTTCCCGTTGAAGCCATCCTGCAATCAAGATTGGAGAAAAGTTCAATTCTCCTTTCGTAATAATGTTGCTTGGGCTGGTTTTATGACCAAAATGTGAACACCTTTCGTAGCCATGAGAGGTTCCCAGGAAGAACGTGCTGAGATCCCAAAGATGAAGATGCTTTCATTTTCGTAGAGAGAAGAAAGCATTTTTGAACACCCCACTTTTTTGCTTGACGATGGTTTTCCAACAAGTTTTTTTTATAAAGAAAAAACCAAAAATGTTACAAAAACTACTGAGTTGAACAATACACTAGTTTTAGCGCTCACTTAGCTCTATCGAATTATCTTCGAGCGGACTTATGGTATTTTAGGATGCATCAACAAGAAAATGACCTACCGATTTCTTAGAGAACCCTTCAGATCCCATACTTGATTAACATTGTGTTTATAGAACAAATACTCCATAACCAAAATGTCAAATTTCAGTTGCGTGGATTTGCTTTTGTAGCCGACTCGGAACACTCCATAGACCTAAAGAATTATTATTATAAGAGCTAGAATTCAACAATAAGCTCTCAAACATTTACCTTACATAAAGCCGTTAATTTATTTTCAACCACAGCTGTTTTCACGTATTCAAAGTAGTGAGGGGCAAATTCAACAAAAGACTGAATTTCAAACCGAGACATCTGCTTCACAACAAAGCGATCGTCCTGAGTTCGATAGAAGAATGATCCTGATTTTCCTCCCTAGAAGGTATTGAAATAACATACCATAAATCGGCAATGTAACTGTATACGCATACCTGTGGTGTCCAGAAAGTGCTCTGAGACAAGGAACGAATAAATGCTTCTTCACCCTCAGTGAATAATAACTTACGTAACAGGCGGAATCTTGCTGCGTAGTACGCCTGGGTAAAAAAATAATAGAAACGATGTTGCCCTCAATTGAAAACCCTACCTTCACGTAATAGGAAGCCTGATTGTCTTGGAACTCTATCTCAAGATGTTCTGCGGCCAGTGCCTGCTCATCCGATGCAACACTGCTGGAATTGAGATTAAGTGGTGGTTGTTCTCCTTTAGCAGCATCTCGTTGCTTCCTGCGATTTTCCTGGAAATCTTTATACCTAGAGAAAATTGTTTCAAAAAGGTGTTAAGATCCATGAAACAAAGTAGCTAACCTCGTAATCTGCTGATGAAAGCGCGTACGCAATAATGCTACCTATGTCGGGTTTGTAATTCCCTCTCGAGTCCTGTACAAAAAAAAACATTTTCTCTGCGAAATATGGGAATAAGTTGTAACATACCATGATATCGCGAACAACAACACCAACTCTCGGCTGAAGTTTGAGACCAAGATGTAGATAAGTTGGGAATGGGTCGTCTATTCGCTCCAATCCGATATCAGTCGACTGGAAAGATTACTTGGGAACGTATCTAGGATATTTCAAACGCGTCAAACCTACTTCGGAAACTACGCCATTATCCTCACTGTTCTTTTTTACGGCACGAACTGTTGCTGCGAGCACTGTGCTCTGATCGTTCCATGTTGTTATGAGTTGGTAGATAGCTTCACGGATACGCATTAGGGCTTCATTAGCCTGAATGTTTCACTACGGTGTGCGAAAGCAAAACTGTAGCATTCCCACATTTAGAAAAGATCAAGTTGGAGGCAGCAAGAGAGTGTCGACTTGAAAAGTCTGGCTGCTTTAGATTTGACAAGAGGGTTAGTCATGAAGCTTGCGCAAACAACGAGCTACTCACCTTGACGGCATAGATGTCATTTGAAGGGATGATGACTCGATCAACAGAGGTCAGTTCTTCTGCATATTCACGTTTTTCTCTGAAATCAATAAAAATAAGCACAAAAGCGGCTGGCTTGAACTTACTGCTATGAGGGTCACTTCGCGTGCACAGCTCTAGACTACGTATATGAGGGTTATTAATTTGTACCACTGTAGCAAAGTAAAACTGATGTGGATAGTTATGGAAAACGCTTTTTTTTGCAACTACTCTTGTAGCCTCGAACACAAGCCGACACTGAAACTATCTTCAGCTCAGAAACTTTTGAAGTTCACCTCCGCTGTAGGAACCCTTCCATCATATGAGCTTATGTTCAGGTTTGATGCTGTAACTTGGTCAGCTAGTCACTTCGAAAGTGCACTTCAGCGCTGTATAAAGAAAGTTAAAGCTAATGACTGAGCGAAACAAGACTGACGCGATCAAGGCAATAGTCTTCTCAACTACTTGACGAAGCACAGTATGGAAGGTACCAGCGTACTGCCCATAGTGGTCATGTTGTGTGAACAAACGCAGCCGATCTTCTGCCGTTCGAACAATATCATCCGCTAATGAAGCCATTCTAAATCAACTTTTGAGAAATGATAATTCGAGTTGTGAGAGTTAATAATTCTGAGTCTGGTTCACCTTGTAACACCATCCAGAAGAGCTTGTTTACTGTACTGATTCGGAACAATGCGACATTGAACAGGGGAAAACTGGACATCGTAAGGGCGAACCTAAAGCTATCCAACATGGCGAACTAATTCGAAGTGAAAGAGCGAGTTTTCAACAAGTAGAATGAACAGGAGGGAAAACTAACCGAAGAAATTTTAAAACTGGCAACGTAATTTCCTTGTGAATAGAAGTGAGTATGTTCGTGGAAAAAACAATGCGAGCACTCTTGTCGTACAGGAGAAGTCACATCACCCTGATGTTGATTTATTACCAATTCGATAGCAATAAGGGGCAACATGTGCCATTACGGTCATTGGAGAAACAATCTGCGAAAGCAAGGGGCATATGGAGGGCGGTAAAGAGCCAAATAAATGAGAAGGACAACAACATGAAGGTAAACAAGGCATATACGTGAGCGAAAGTTGCTGCTGTCTAATGAGTGCGGAACGACTCAAAGTGTAAGCCAGCTTTGATCATTGAAAAGCGAACCCATGTCTCACCTTAGAGAATCCCGTGTATGCGATGTAGTCGAGATATTTCCCAAACGATAAATGCCAAACAGATGAGTTCACCGGCACGACGGGAGATGACAACTTGCACCTGTAAAAAAATGTCGCCTTTTCTGAGACTATGGGTAGTAGCAGTATTCTTACCCATCGCAATAGTTCCATGCAAAAATCTGCGATGGAGACGCATTGGCAATAGAAGATTCATCTGAACCGCTGACAACAATCTGGGTGGTAACTTCAACACAAACGCGCCCGTAAACCTGAACCAAGGAGTGAACTGACAGTAGCGACTTCTCTACAACTAGACTCACCAGCTTTCTGGAATGATCGAGCATAGGAACCTCGCAGTTGGATGATGCGCACTCGTACGATTTGTTGAAGCAGAATCTACAAGAGCATAACGGTTATGTTCACTTTAGAGATCTATTACCGCCTCCACCTGAGTTCACTACTACTCCCTTCAGCCAGCCGGTCATATTAAGATCAAATGAATAGAGCTATTTTGGAGAGCAAAAGAGTGAAGGTTACGAGTGTACAAAAATAATGAAGAATTTACACGAACTTTGTGAGGAACTCTCCGAGAGTCATGTCGTGAGGTCCGTAGAATTCCATATTGACTACCCAAGGACGAACACAGAAATAGGGTGCGTTTGGCGATTTTGGAGAGAAGGAACCAAAAAGAACGGCTACTCGTTGGTGGACATAGGGATCGAGCATATCATGCCGTCCCGACCGTTGCCGTTCCTATCAAATTCACTTGAGAAAACAGTCGAGTTCGTGCCCAAAACAACATGTTTACCTTACTATTCCTTCGCGTCGCGTCTTTCGTCTTTCGCAGCTGGAGACGCTTTCTGAAGAGAACCCCACTGAAGGCTCGAAACGAGCTGAGATGTTCAGCACTGTCGGCGTCACGAGCGCCGCAAGTCGCATAATAATGACGAGGGGCCTCGGGGACAGGAATCTTAAGAAGTACGGATCTCGTTCACGCTAACAACGATCATGGATGCTTACAAACGTTTTGCTGTTTGTCGAGAATTCGTTGAACTTCGTTTTCCTCCTCTGCCAGGCGTGCATCGAAATCTTTTGCATGTGAAGAACTGATAGACTGGCACGTTAAAATACGGCAACAATGAGCAATTCCCTGAAACAACCTACATTCCAGTCAAACCGACTGCGACACCCAAAAAAAAAAATCTCGCAGGCAGTTTACGTTCCCTTCATTGATGCTACCAAATAAGGAGGCTCGTAGTCAATAAACGGTGAGGCAGATAGAACACTCTCTGCGAGAGCTTGTTCGAAATCCGACTGGAAATAAGGATTTGCTGAACAGGAAAAACGGGGGGTTAAACACGTGCCTGATCATTTCACCCATTGTGGACAGCCATACTTCGCGTGTCTCTGCATCTTTTGGTCTTTCCATAAGTAATCAATGGCCAGGAAATTCAGCATTAATTGAAACACAATACAGACAGCGCATGAAGTTTGGGAAGGGTAAAGCATGGGCAAGGTGTGCGAAACACACATCACCCAAGTGGAGCCCCTGCCTCGGTCATCGGGGCATGCGCCGAGGTTGGCTGCCTGTGAGTAAAATTTCTAATTCTCCGGAACATCCCTCACTTACTTGGAAGAGAAAGAGAGGGAAATTCTGTTCAAGGGATTCATCGAAGATTAGCTTCGCTTCTTTTACGTTTTCAGTCTTGGCATCCACAATTTAGACCGCTATGACCTCACTAATTTGATCCGGGATTGTTGCTTCGAACTTGGGTTAAGCATATATTTGGTTTGAGCTTGCTACGAACAAATCAATGCTGTCTTTATTTGAAATGATTAACCTGATGAGAAGGCCTGACAACCACTCTAGGAGCCCCACCCAGGGCACCGCTCACTCAGAGGCGGGGCGTTCTCTGAAGGGGCGGCACCCGGTAAAATCATAACTCGGCTATAGTTGACTGCGAAACAGAAAAATACCGATGTAGACGAGTAACACAACAGATTTACAAAGACAGATGGAATGAGCGGAGACTCGCCTCAAAAGGGCGTACCGTGTCCCTAAGTGGACAGTTGTTCACATATTTCATAATTCCGTTTGGAAAGCTCAGGTAGCAGCAAAAATGAACAAGAGCGGCCAATATAGGGAAGATCAGGTGGGTGGACCGCGCAGAAGTGGGTGAAGTTTGCCATAAAGCGCTTGATCATTTTCAAGGCAGCCCAGACGTCAAAGAACAGTGGACATAGGATGGCAACGCAGAGGAGATCAAATGCTGTCGATGGGCGGGGTTTGCGCCAACATGGGCGGAGTTTCCAGTGAGACCTACGCTTCGTTTCCGAGACATCTCAGAGACCGGGAAAAGTGTATGGAGCCAGGCGATGAAGAAAAGGTCAGATGCAATTGGTGAGCAGAACGAGCATCCAAGTTAGCAGGATTTGCCATAAAACTTATAACTAGCTTCCAAGATGGTACGGAGTCTTGCGCAGCTATTATCAGCCTTCCTGTGAACGGCCATCGTTGCCAGTAACACTGAATACTTAGGATACATCGAAAGCAAGCGGAGCGCGGTGAAGACGTGAGTGCACCTTCGCACCACGCCACCTTCCAGTCCAACAAAGCTTTTTTGTCATCGAGTACGCGCATTATAAAGGTTACCGCCACTTGTACGATGAGGAAATCACAAAACGATCTCAACACAGAGTGTCTCCAGCAATTCATGTGGAGGCGAACACATCAAGTTGGGCATTCTTAATTCCTTAAAGCAACAGTCCCAGCAGGGTGGGCGTGGTCGGAAACGGCTGCAATCCCCTCGGCCGATTCCCACTTCGGAGCTGTTCAGCCCCTAGTCAAGAACGTAGGAAGTGTGACTGAACAAAAACTCACCTTGGAAAGCCGCTAGGAGGGAGCTGAAGTGGGCGTGGTCGGAATCGGCCGAGGGGATTGCAGTCGTTTCCGACCACGCCCACCCTGCTGGGACTGTTGCTTTAAGCAGGGATGAAAGCTGAGCGCGTGCTGCTTGAATAAAGTTATTACGTCAAGGTTATTGCCTTGACCCTTTTATTAGAATGCCGTTTTATTCTTGAGCCCAGTAAGTATAAAGCTTTTTCAAAACGAGTGAAAACGGAACTTACCGCTGGCTGACATTAACCACGAGCCGTACACCTGCCTCACACAACAAATCTGCTGCCAGTCTCGACACACCACCTTCCACCAATAACACCGAAGGACGCCGCGATAGTATTCGTTCCACCTAACGTACAATAGATGACATTGTGAACATTTTCACAATCGTAAACAAATTGATATAGCCATGAACATAAAATAATTACCTGCTTTGAGAGGAATTCTCCCTCCTGATTCAAGATAGGTTCGAGTGTAGACAGACGTCCCTGGACCCTTTCGTATTCTATAGAACCTGCCACAATCATGACAGACGCATCTCGCAAGGGTTGAGCCATGGACTCATGCGAAACAGTTTTGCTGCATACAACACCCCACAGAAGCTGCAGAAAAATTGAATGAGATAACGGTGGTTAAGCAAAAAGAAAACGAAACTTTTCACAAGCCGCCAACCTCAGTTTGAGGCTCCTCGTAATCCACATACAGCTTTTTGACATGTACATAATTCACAATGTTCATGTTGTCGTGTCTCTTCGCAACATCAACCTTCACAGTATGTGCTATTTCTTTGGCAAGCTTCAGAATGATTGGTTTCCACCTAAATGGTCTTCAAAACTCGAACAAAAATGTCA